CGCTCTTCCAATTTTTCCCTTCCTCGTTTCCACCTGAAATAAATTTTCAAAAATCCATCGTGACAATTGTGTCAACGAATGTAAATTACACGGTAATATCGGTGCCCCGGTCCAGCGCCCCCGTCGCCGTCGTCCCTGCCGCACAGTCGGTTTGCCCCCTTATAAAGGGAACCCACGCGAGAGCGCGGGCCGCATACCACGGCAGCGCGTCGTTCGAAGCTCGAGGTGACAATTGTACGCGTAATTACTTTAGATTTACAAACACGCGCGTGTTCGAAAATTCGCTTGAGCCGTGTGCTTGGTTGCGAGCCGCGACACTGCGCGATGCGTTGGAGACGCGAGATCGCGAGGCAGCCGCGTGGCGACGTCGTGCATGGCCAGTGAAGGAGGCGCAACCTTTATCCCGCTACGTGTTTACGTCCGTCGCTGTGGTCATGGAGACGGTGCTCTGACGTTGCGTCGTGGATACTTGCCGCAACAGACGCGCCCAGTGAACGTTCCTGAGACGTGATTCGACGAGGTCCGAAACCGGCCAGCCGACCGTTTCTTCGCCATCCACGCCACGCAGCCGGTCGAAATCACCGCGACGACTATGGTACGTGCGCTGTTTCCAAGCGGGTTTCCTCGCGACGGACAGGTGACAACGCCCGGTGACCGGGCCGATTTTCCCCCAGCCGGAGAAAGTTCGATCACTAGAAACACTTCCTCTAGCCGGATATAGCTCGATATTCCTGCTCCACATCCGCGGAGAATGGAGTCGTCGATCGGAACAGCTGATAATCACCTGTCTCCCAGGTCTCGAATTTTCGCCACGTTCCGGGGGTCGGTAAGAGAATAGCAAGTCGCGAGACGGTGTTTCGCGATCGAACAGTCTGTTTGAAGTTACCGTTAGTCATCGACGTTGATCGTAGCTCGACCGTTTCCGCCGTTCTTATCGCTCGTCTATGCCGCGAAGGAGCGTTGCACCGAGGCGCGGTAAACACCGGCGCGAGTTCGATTATTAACGCGGCTGTTGCGGCACACGCGTCGAGTGGAAAAGAAATCGCGACGGGTGTTTATCGATGAATTCAGTCGACAGATAAGACGAGGGGAAGACGTTTCGGGAGGTGTCTCGGTAGCGGGCAAGGTATCGCTCCGCGTCGTGGCCGAAAATATATTTTCAGTAGGCAAACTGCGTACCGAGGCATGCACGTATTAATAGTTTACCTAGGAACGGTATATCGCGATCTCGGCGAAACTTAGACGACGCGTTGCTTTCTCTGTTTACAGTGAACCAGGCCACTCAGCAGGCATCGTCGATGAATTATCGCTGCTGGAACGACCGCTCGGGATCGGTAAGCGGATAAGAAATTGGTGGAGAGTATTGGCGTAGAGGGCGAGACACAATGGCTCTGGCGAGGATCAAGAGTTTCATAGACACGGGCCTGAAGACCGTGTCCACGCCGTTGGATCGCACGGTGAATCTGGAGCCGGAAGTGGGCATTAGGATCGTTCATTCGATCAACGAGAAGGCGCTGCACGTGACGGTGCTCGGTGCTCGCCACTTGCCTCAGAATTTCGGCTTCACCCGCGTCAACAGCTACGTAGTCAAGGTATCAATCGGCTTGGTATCGAGCTGGCCATACTTGTAATCTTTCGCATCGTTATCTCGCGTTACGTAACCCGACGGAATCATAACGAGAAGCCTCTGTGCCCACTTTGGAGGCTCTATTGACTCACGAATCGCAGAAGACAATAGTCATGTGGGAGCCGTACGATGTTCCCTTATCTCCGCGCGACGCGCTTGAAATGTATTAATTGCGATGACCGAGAGGAAACGGGGATTGCGTGATCGGTGCACTCGCCGATCGATTTTGTTATTTCCTTCGAGCGCGAAGAGAAAGGTTCAGACATTGATCGTATTCGAAAGGAATAAAGGAATTTTGAAGCTGCCAGGCTGCATAATTATGCAAAGTTAGTGAGTAATAGCAGAACAGCGTAGAAAGAAGGATTCTACCTGAACTATCTCTGTCTCCCTCCTGTCGATATAACCGAGAAATAACCGAGGAATAACCGAGGAATAAGCGATGAATAATTCACGCGGATTACGCGCGAACATACTTGATTACTGTAACCAATTATCGCGTAAAAAATAACCGAGGAATAACCGAGGAATAAACGATGAATAATTCACGCGGATTACGCGCGAACATACTTGATTACTGTAACCAATTATCGCGTAACTAATACACGAACGGTACCGTCTACGTGCGAGATGAAAATTCGCACGGGAAAGAAAGTAAGCTGTTTCCATTTCAGGTGAAGCTGATACCGGGAAAGGAGAAGTTCGAGACGACGTCGAAGAAGGAATCGTGGCCGCAATGGAACGAGGAGTTCACGTTCCCCTTGCGCAAAGAGACGAAGCAGAAATTTGGCAAGACGAAGGTGGTCGAGGAGGAGATCAACGGGTCCAGATTCATCGTGGCGACTTTGTACGCTGTCCTCGAGGACAAGCCGCTGATAGCGACCGAGAAGAAGGAAGCCGAGAAGGACAAGACGTCATCGTCCACTAAAGAATCTCCGAAGAAGGGTAGCAAGAAGAAAGATGGCCAGGGTGGCTCGACGGAGAACCAAGAACCGACGAAGAATAAACTGCTCAGCCAGTTTTTCAGCAAGGGAACGGACAAAACCGCGGAAACCGCGGCCACGGAAAGGAAACTGTTCGATAAGAGACGAACCGTAGGCGCAACGACGATTTCCTTGGACCCGAAGAACTTCGCGTCGAAACCACCCAAGGCGAAACACGCGAGCGATGTGTCGACGGGAGACATGTGGAGACCTTTGCGACCGATCGCCAGTGGTATTTCCGGGGCTGAAGAAAGGGTAAGCAAATTTTAATGGGGAATAACATCGCCGTATTCTTTGTTTCCTTCCCCTCTTTTAATACCAAATGAACGCAAATATCGTAATAAGACAACGGTTAATCGTCGGAACTTTCCATTCGCCATTGTTGCAGAAGGAAAACAAGAAAGGCCAGGTGGAGGTGTCACTGTGCCAGGAAAAAGACAAGAAAGAGGAGGGTAGCGAAAGACTGGTATTGTCTCTGCATCGTCTGAGGTGCGCGTTACAGACGATGCACGAGCACGAGACTTTGAAAGGGCAGATGTACATCAAGATGTCCGTGGTAGACAACGGAAGGGTGACTCACTTTTGGAAAAGCGATCGTTTCGCGCCGTGTGTGTCGATGAAATTCGCGCCGGATATGGCGAGAGTGGTCGCGGATAATCCGTATCAGGGTGCGCTGAAGGATGTCAGCTTCGTCGTTAAATTTGTCTCTAAAAATAAAATGGGTAAGCCTCGTCGATGATTTCATTCCAGTAAGATTTCGTGTAGACAGTTCGTATCGCGTATTACGAGCGATTCCTTAAATGTCTGGCGTCATTCCAGGGAAGAAGACGACCGTTGGCCATTTTGTGATCGGTCCAGACGTAGGAGGGACCTATGGCGAGCAGTGGAAACAGGCTCTCGCGAAGTCGGGGCAAGAGATAACGAAATGGCAGGCATTCGAGTAAAATCGGGATAAGCGAATGGGTGAATAAAAGCTATCGAGTATTCTCGGCTCGACTTTTACTCGAGTTTCCATCGAGCGCAAACCTACTTTCGATCCATGCGAATATTATAAATATTTGAGCGCCTGGTCGATAACGACGTTCCAAAGAATAGTTAGGTGAACATCTGTGGATACAGGAAATTTACCTTAGTTCTTCGCTACTTCTACCCCCGTTATCTTCTTTTATTATTATAATTAGTTCTTCTTTCTCAACGATGACGTGCACAAAAGTATTTCACGCGTCTGTTTTGTATATATCGATTGTTCATAACCGTCCTCGATTTCTAAGGCGAAGAAATTAGCAAACTCTCCGTTGAGAATCGGAATGACAGAACCGTCCAATAAATATTCTGCCATTACAGGATTCGAGTAGAATCGCAATGGGAAAATGAAGTCCCAGATCTATCGATTCGATTACTATCTCGAAATGAAGAGACTAAATTTTGTGCCAGGAAAGACCGCGATCGAGTAATTTCAATTCCCAGCTTTCCGAGTTACGATGTACAATGTAGACATAACCACCCGTTTTTATTGTAATTAGACCTAGGGTATTGATTGTTGTAAAGAAATCTTCTTCACGTATGTAGGGTAATATATTTCATGTTACGACGTTTAACGATGTTTTAATTTCAGTGAGAGTAATAGCGATACGCCTGTTGCTCATCGTTTTGACCGTAGTTTTGTTTCAAACTATGTATTTATGTATTACAACGTAAATAATTCGAAGTGCATCGAAATATAGTTTGTATAGGACTATTTATAACGCTGTAATTAAATGTATATGTATTTTGTTACGGAAATTAATTATCTCTCGAGGAATAGTCTTAAGGTCTAAACAGTCACACCAAAAAACTTGTATGTACCATGTTATTAACGCACGTATCTGTATGACAGAGATATATTTTATATGTAATACACTTGTTGTTATATATAAAGGATGATTTTTATTTTTTTACACGCAATGTTTTCCATATATATATTTATTCGTTCATTTTATCATACACATGTACAAAATATATAAGAGAATGATGCATTATGCAGGCAATCATACTTCTATTTCTGTGGCAATTAACCACGCTTTCAGAAGACACATACAAAAATACAAAAAGCACAATCATTTCATCCTAATGCTAAATTTATGATGTTATAATGGACGGAATTTACAGTCTTATTAGTATTGTGCTAAATGGTATAAATTGAATATACTCGGTTGATGTAATGTCCATCTTTTGTACTAAGCGAGTCTACATTAAGAAGTAAGTATGATACAAGCATATACTTTTATAATAAAAATTATATTATTTCGATAAAAATATACTTCTATAAAAAAGTTGGAATACTCTAAGGAAAGATAAAAATGTAGTCTAAAATTACTAAAATCTGCCTTATAAATATTTTGTTCAACGTCATCTCTCTAATAAGGCACCAAGATGTACGCTAAAATATTAATAAAAAGTTGATCAATGGTATAATTGGCTTTTGAGTAATACTTCCTAATGGCAGTCTAATTTCTGGACGAAATACTCTATTTCCCTGAAATTCAGATCATACGTATCATGATTGTCGAGAAGAAAGTTATTAGTAAGTACGAGTGAATCTTTATGTTGTAAAAAAGACATGTTCGAGTGTATACTGCCTAGTCAGATCTATCGATAATCTTTGGTTAAAATTGTTAAGTATAGACAAGTACGTATCTCAATGAAATTGCTAAAGCTATAATAGAAGCCAATATGCTTCCATGATTGTACGAAGCTGTATTACAGCCATCTTTGCTATTGCAAGTACAATATTCCATAAATATATTGTATGTTCCTGTTCTCATAAGACAAAAGCGTTCATCACCATCGATTCCTGGTTCTCCCATATAAGCACAACTACGAAAATATCTCCATACACCGCTGACTAACAATAAAAATAAAATTCCACTTGTAACAATGGCTGCAAAAAGCTACCTTATTATGTAAAATTTTAATTATCAACACACCTTTTTGACGAATTTTACGACACATGGTAGGTCTAACACCTGGCAAATGTTCTAAGTCAGGTTCTTGTTTGCAATCAGTTATAGGTACTGTGGTGTTATCGAATGGATCTGCGCATTTTGGATCCGAATCTGATCTGCATACCCAACATTTGATAGATAATCCTATAAACACAAATAACGCCTTCTGTTTACTAACTCAGATTATCGATATTTATTTTATGCGGTAAGATACTATTTCCTCGTACATATGTACGTAAAATATGAAAGCATCAAATATATTAAAAAACTACGATTTTAATAGTACGAAAAAATTGAGCAAAGTCGCTGTTCCGGAATTTTAAATTACGTCCAGATTTGTAGGTTAAGATCATAAGTCTAAGCGATCGATTTCGAAGAGCGATATTTACCTTGCTGAATAGAACAGAACAAGATGAGTAATATTGTCAGTAAAGTAGGGAAGCGAGATTCGTTGGCCATTCTTTTAGAAATTGCAGATCACTGTATGAGAACTTTAAAACTCGCGTTAAGTTGAAACGATTAATTACTCCAACTGCCCACGCCTACGACTGACCACGCCACTAAACCGACAGCTATCGCATCAGGGCTGACACAAGAAATAGTTTACAACTTCGAATAAAAATTTTCATGTATTCCGTTATTGATAAGAAATCGATAATTTTCAAATTTATTTCAAACCAACTGAATATACTTTTAAATTAAGAAATACATAAAAAAAACTTTATATAATTTTAAATATAACTAAGTATAGACTAACATTTTGATTAGAAAAGATTCTTTACGAGCACAATGATTGGTTCATTAAAATATCTTCGAGAAATATATAAAACGAACAATCGAACTATATACTACGCTTCGTACGCTACTGACCCCTTCGTGCAAATTCGTCTCTTTTCGGATCACGTGACTACAACCCGACTCAAGACCGCGCCCGATATATGAGACATACGATCAAACAGTTTTAATTTAATAGCTGTAAGCACGGTCACGAAAGAATGCACTGTGAAACGAACATGCAAGCTAATTGAAATAAACGTGATGCCCAATTTACGCAATCGATGACACGAACCTTTGACATTTAACGTTGATTATTCTTATCCAAAATAGAGATACCATTATTAAAACATAAACATCGATCTATAATATAAATCGTCAACTTTTAATTCTTTTGATTAAAAATTTTCGAATTTCAAAATTAAAAAATTGCTGGATTAAAAAAATAATCACCCTTCTAATATTTTAGTTTTTAATTTTTGCTCAACCAACGACTCTAACACGAAATTTCCGTATACATTTCGGATTTCCAGGTTGTCCACAAAATGGAACCCCGCGGTTCCGATGGCCCGCAAGAGGATCGACTTTTGCGGGTGGTCCGCGAACGAAACGAGGTACAACACGGTCCCGAGGACGCATTTGAATGCTATAAATAAATATAAATAAATTGATTTGCCGGCATTAGCATAAGTAGCCGAGAGAGGCTGGACTCTGCTGTCTGCGGCTCGTGTCTGCTCGTTGTCTACTCTTTTCCTCTCTGTCGCACTCGCGATCGTGGACGTTGATTTATATACCGATGTCCCTTAGGTTCCTGCGGCATTCGCCGTCTCTTTAACTTTAAAAGGACACAGGTCTACGATCGGGACGCGCGCCCATCTCGTCCCGCGGCTTCTCGCGTGGGAATTAATTCCGAAACCACGGGTCTCCTCCATCGTGGACGGTGCTGTTTCAATTAAACGATAAGAACGGGCAGTAAAATGTTCGACCTAACACACGTGGTATAATTTCGTGTCCATCAATCCTTATGGGTCGATGTTTCATCACGAGTGTCGATGTTTCGAAAAAATAAAAGGCGAGGAAGCCGAGGAATGCTCGTGGTTCGTGTTCGGTATCAAGGCCGCTGCCGAGAGGGAAAATGGTCCTTATTTCTGCTATAAAATCAGCCGGCTTACGAGCCGCGGCTCGAGGTCGGCTTTTTTTTCCCAAAAATCGGGTAATTTCGTGTAATCATCGCGGAGCTTTGGGCGTGGCCAACCGCAAAGATACTCCGCTAGGGAACGGCGTGTGTCATTAACCGAATCTTCCAAACGACCCTGGCCTATCTTCTCGTTTCTCGTCCCGCTGCCGGAAGAATGGTTCATCGAATTACGTGGTGGCGTTAAGAGTCATTCCGTTGATCGATATTTGCAAAATTGATATTTCCGAACGATCTGACACCCTTTGCCTCGCTCCTTCGCAACGAAGGACGAACGCTCGCACGATCGGGAAATATCAATCGATCCCTGTCGATTGGTCTTTGTTCAACGAAAAACACGCGATGTCCTTTCATCGATCAAACCAATACGCATTTATATACGCATTTTCGAAACAGTTTTCCAAAGCTCAGGATCGTCACTGAATCATCCTAGTTATTTCTAGTTCCAACCTCACTGTGCTACTAAATTTGTCGCGAATGTTTTATTGTTTCATAAGAGACGCGTGACGATTGACCCATATCGTTCGACCAACACCTGAGAGTCAATTGCATACAAGAACGACTTTAAGACACGTCCCACAGTCGTGGCCTTACGCGAGAAAATTGCTCTCTCTCTCTCTCCTCTCTCGAGCACTTCTAAAACGCCAACCTGGATCACAGACGATTGTTCGCCGTTGCGAAGGAAAAACCCTTGCGCTCTCATCAACCACGCAGATGACGCGAGTAGTCACGTAGAACGAGCCGTTGTCCTTATCGGAATCAAAGGTAACCCCGTCCACTGCCCATCTTCGGCCACGTATGTGTCCCCATCACCGATCCTCGATCGTGTCTTCTTCCTCGGCGAAGAATCCACCGAGAATACCCCCTATCGCAGAGCACCCCACCACTGCAGCTCCCGCAGAATCACCCTCCACTTCCGCTTCGCTTGGTAGCCACTCCTCTCAGCCTCTGTTGATACTTCCTCGCGCGTGTATCTCGTCAGTCGGCTTGGAGCCACGTGCGTGTGCTCGAGAAGCTCCAGCACGCCAGTCGTCTGGCCTGTTTGCAATCGACTTCGTACTTCCTGCTCGTTAATTACACCCGACAAGACGTTCCATCGCAGGAACAAAGAAATTCAATTAGAAGAAGCTTTCTCGAATGCGCGATAAAAGTGGCTCTCGCGAAAGGGAACGACCGCGGAGTAGGAAGAGTGAAACGATCCTTTCGAACGGTCGTGCAAGATCCCTAGCCTCCTCCCTCGCGACGGGTCCGAAGAAGTTACGGTGTGCAATTGAAAAGCGTGAAGTGTCCGCGGCAATACTCACCGAACCGTCTGCGCGGCTGGCACGGGAAGCAGGAAAGAACCGAGTCGTCTGGACGGTGCGTCTAAAACGACCAGGAAACCCAAACTCGAAGACAGATGGTGGAGGCAGGGAGGACTAAAAATATCGGCCGTTGGCACGCCGCTGCCTCGCTGTACTTCAACTTGAACAATTTTACCGGCTGGAGAACGGCCCGTTCCATGGTGCGTCGCCTCTAATCCCGCTGAGAGTTCCCAGACGCTGGTTAGTCGAAGGGAGGATCGTCGGCGCGATCCGTTCCCTCGGGGAAATTTATCCGGTGTCTCTCCTTATCGTTTAATAATCCTACCTCTTAGCCGAGTCTCCAGCGGGTTCCACGATAATGAACGACGCCGACGCGATGTCGATAAACCCTATCCACTGCCAAGTGAATCATCGAATCGTTCGAACTTCGTGGATGCTCGTGGCGAACATGGACGGACGCGACAGATAAGGTAAGTCTGCCCGGAAAGTTCGGAAATCTCGCGATGAGCGGAATTTTGTAACGGTTGCGTGTGCAAACGCGTCGAGTAAAAGAATTCATCTGGCGACCGAATGTTCGGCGTTCTCGTGACCAGAGAGCACCTCGATTCTCCGATTCTCGATGAAACAGGAGAGACACGCTAGCCGTGAATCGTATCCACTTTCGCGTTACATAAAGAATCGTAACGCGTACACCGCCACTTTGCGTGGAGGCTCGGTAATATCCTGGTGTCTTTTTGCCGGGGAACGTGCCTCGCCACCTGTGTCCCACACGTCGTTCTTTCTTTCTCGCGAGATCCTCCTACTGTAATCCTACACACTCCGCTACTTCCGTCAGAGATCGTCGTTTCGATGACTCGTCGATTCTTCCTATCGTTAAAGTTCACGAACGCCGTGCCCCGCAGATCCATTCGGCATTCGCGTCCATCGGGGACGTAATTTCGAGCGGATCGTGACTTTCGCGAATGCTCCCCGTTCGGTATTCGATCCATCGAACGTTCGCGGAAGCTGACCGAGCGAGGGTCTACATAGAGAGCCGATGTTTTACCGGTTAATTGTTACCGGTAATTTACGAGCCTGTCCTTGGTTGGCACAATTAGAAGAGGACTAGAAACCGATTGCTCGTAAGACACGACTGAACATCGGCAATTACCCAACGAGGCAGAAGAAGAACGCGACTTCCTCCACTTTAATTAGACCTCTTAAACCCGACGGTATCTCGAGAGCACATGTACTCGAACGGCCTCTGACTGTGGAAAAAATATCGAATTCCATGGCGAAATCCATAGCAATCCGGTAAGAACGGTCGGTGGCACGAGGTAACCAGGCTGTGGAGGCTTCCATCATCGGCTCGTTGCAGCGTATTACGCGAAATTAACAAGCGAAAGCGAGCTGCCAGTCAGAGCGAATCCGGAAAAACGCTAATAACACGCTCCTCTCTGATCGATGGTTTCAGAAGCGCAGGAACGAGAGCAGAAGACTTGGAAGGAGCGTCGAGTGGCCGCTTTGAAGCCGCCCCGTACCACGGGGCCATCCAGAGGCAGCGTCGCCGAGGGAAGAGACTTTAGCCCCTCCTCGAGGCCGAGTTCTTCCACTCATGGTGTTTTACGGCGAGCTCGTTTGAAATTCTTCGCGTGGAGTCGCGGCCGTATTTATAGAGCCGCGCGGGACTCGCGAGTTCACGCACGTAGAATCACCACGCGCGCGCGCGCGCCTCCTCTCCAGCGGGAGGAGAAAGGGGAGGCGGTGGTGGAGGCCAGAAGGGAAAAGCAGACGGACAGAGAGAAAGGTAGACAGTGCGAACGGAGAGGAAACGAGAGAACGAGAGCCGGGTCGCGTCGACGGATGGACGAGCACGCGGCGCGTCGCGATCATGAAGCGATGCATCCGCGACAGGAGCACCGGCCCGCTTCGTCGTCGAGCACGTCCTCGACGTCGTCCAACTGTCTGCGCTCGCTGCCCCCACTGGGACGCCTCGATTCAGCGGGCATGATCGCCCGGCTGCTGGGGGCGAACGCGGCCCTCCTGTTCCTCCTGCTATTTCTCGCCACGATACGCACCGCTGTCTGCCTCGACCACGTCTCGGTGAGTATTTAGCAACTTTGTCGCCGTTTCGCGCCAGACACGCCACGTCACTCACTATAGGAAGGGGAGCTCGTCTTTCGTCACTCGCCGTGCAACGCTCTGACTCCACCATTCGATCCTAGCGAGGGTTGCGTCGGGGGGCTTCGAATCGGTAAAACACTGTTTTATACTCGATAAAACAGGTCCAAATTTTCTACTGAATTTTTCGCTTTTTTCCATTTCGAGTTCCGAGAGAAACGAGGGAAGATCGGGTCCTCGAGTTCAACGGGGTACCGAAGGGGTACCGGTATTTACTCCGGTTTTCGGTAATACATCTGGCTGTAACCTTATCTATATCTTTCACCGGATATAGATTCCACGCGAAATGTATCGAATAGCACTTTGGAAATTCTAATTACCGGAATGCGGCGCGTCGGTTATCTTCGCGCGAAAGAATTTCCTTATCGCAAATGGTATAGCTGGTACCACGATAGAGAAGATAAATTTGCTCGCTTTACGGCGCTGCGCTAACAACTTACGTTACGCACTAATTTTGGCGTACACGGTAGCCCCGTGTAAATAATCTGCGTAACACGTCGAAGAGAGGTAGCGAAATAGATCGTGTTGGCGAGTGTCGCGTGGACCCCCGGGCTCACCTGTCGCGGTACCCCGGTGGACTGCGGAACCGGGTCGGTTAAATCAGGCGGTACACTTGACCCGAAAAACGATACGAAAAATGAGCCGGGAATTTGCAATTGAGCAAGAACAATCGGCACTTACGTATCCGCAGTATCCAGGCCAGGATACTTTCTAAATAGTCGCGTGTGTTCGAGCCGTTGAACGGGCTCGTGACGTGTGCAGAACACGATACCGCGATTGCCCGGGAAAAAACCACGGTGGCGAGCAAAGCTTCCGATTAGCAGCGCGTTTGCTCGGCCCTCGTTCCATTAGTTTCACTTTCATCGTGGAAATCCGATCCGAAAGATCGTTTCCATGCGGTGCACGCGCAATTGAGCAACCGAGCAGCGGAAAATATTCATAAAATTCCGAGTTAAGAAGAGGGAAACCGGAGCGGTGGGGGAAATCGCGAGAAATTGCTGCAAAAAACCGGCAAATCTCGGCAACGAGATAATTACAGTGACACGCATATTAATCTGCTTAATTAAGGCCGAGATAACCGCGGTATCTGCGAGAAGCACGCTTTTTAAACGAAAGTCGACAGTGATCCAAGGCATCGTTAAGCGAAAGCGATTCCGGTGCGATCGACGACTCTTCTCGTTGACATTCACCTTAGCGATCGCGATCGAGACGATCGATCGACCTGGACTGATCGCCAAGTAGTAAGAATCCCGTAATCTTCCCGATTATCTCGTGCGTATTCCTGCAAACGACGCGATTCCATGTTGAGTTACGTGGGATTCTGCGAATGCATAAATTAATTGGTCGTATAAAGAAGGACTGGAAGATCGTACTCGTGCAACGTATCGCGCACTGCTCGCTCTTTTTGCGCGCGTGACGAGTAATTCGATTCAACGCGCAGTCAGAGTCGCGTCCGCCTCGCGGTGATGTCTAATTGACATTGACACGGTGATTGTAATTACAAATGCGGAGGATGATTTTACGGAACGCATTGTGCATGCATTTTTTCGACTTCGTTGAAAAGCTTGATCACCTATCCCGAGTCCGTTCGATGTCAACGGGACGATCGAAAACCAGAAAGTCACTCGGGGTTCCGTTCGCGCGAAAATAATTATTTCGAACTTGGTTTAATTCGCGATTGCTACTCGAATCGATGTAACGTAAACGAGTGATACTATTAGTTACGAAAATGATGGGAATGACAGTTTACAGATGTATGACAATGATTTTCCAATTATTGCAATGCACTGCAAGGCGATGCCATAGTGTTTGGAGACCTATCCAAAGCCGATGACATTGGTATTGACAGACATTTGGGGACCAGAGGTCGCTTGATCGATGTTCGAAATCACTCGACTGTCATTGGAAGTAATCTCGAATTACTGACTATCAACGAGATTTCCAAACTGTCAAGTCCGTGTCGTCCAATGTCAGGCTCACTCCAAGGTCACGGCGAGGTCGTTGACACTCGAGACGATTCTTCAATCAGCAATAGAACCATCAGAGTGTTTCTTTCCTCTTTTCGAGAGAAAAGTTTGGAAAACCCAGGGATTGAATTTCACCGAACCAGTCTGGTTCTAAATCGAATCAACGCGACTCAACCTCGAATTAACCGTTATCGCCAGAAAAGGTCGGACAACTGGAATAAATATATCCCGAACTTCTGGCCGGGCCATCAATCGTGAAATGTTTTACCCTACTATTTCAAGACCAAAGTCGATGCCACGTTCTCGGTGTACAACGCGCCGCAAATAGAATTCCTGGACGGGGACGTGAACAGAAGGGACCGCGTTTAGAAGTCGGTTTTCACGAAAGAAACGAATCTGTTACCTACATTAGAGAGGAGCATCGTTTCACCGCAAACACGGGACAAACTGTGCGGATTCATCGGCATGGAGCTCGATAGAGTTGGTTTAGTAGGCAGTTCCAGACTCGCGTGTGCCCCGAGGGCACGACGAAGCATCGTGTCAGCCTAAACCCGGTAATAGCGACGCAATTGTCACGTAATCTTGTAGAGAATATATGTAAAAAGAATGTCGATCAGATTGGAGATCGGACTCTTTATTCCTTAAATGATTTACAATGTTAGCGATATATAATTATAGCGCGTTCAGGGTTGAATTAAGACTGTCTTCGGTGTGGCCTGGCGTTGCTTTTATAGGTGGTCCTTTCCTTTATAGTTTGTAGATCGGTGCCGTGTGTACTGTGGGCCGGATATAATCAAAACTGTCTGAAGATAGGTGTCATGTGCAATACTTCCCGGATATGATTAGGGTTTGTTTAATTTCAAGAGTTCGTCGAAATATGATGTACAGCTTGGTGTGGCTTTCAAATGTCACACAATCGTCCAGGTCCGAGGCGGATGAAACGATGCTTGGGCTAAGATACCCTGCTAATCACTATAATTCCATTCCGCCTTCGAATTCTGGTGATCCCGCGTTTCAAGGCCTGCCGTTTCCGGGCCCCCGTGCCCTGCGAAGTAACCGATCCAATGGAGAAATATTCAATCGAGTTATCCTATTCGGAGATATCCTACTTTGTGGTCCGCAGGATTTACGAAGCTATTACGAAGCGAAAGGGGTTATTTTCGAGATTAAGCGCGCCTTAGAGACTTTTACGGTTTCACCGTTAATTCGGATAATTTCCTGCCTCGGTGTTGGCTATTTCTAAAGCAGCCGAAAGGTCCTCGGAAATCGGGTACCCCTGAAATCCACGGGACAAGAATGCCCCCGGTGTGGGATATTAAAATCTAATTTAGATGAGAATTCACAGCCGCTGTTCTCAGGTTACCACCCACAGACCCAGCGACATCAAAGACCAGCCTTCGTGCTCCAGCGAGACACTTACAACCCGACTTTTTCCTGCCTCGCCACCGATGATCTCGATAACGTCTCCACGCCAAGTACACCGTTGCCCGGTTTATATTTAGTGCATCCTTTCTCCCTCTCGTTCTCGATCAACGATGTTTCCGCGCACGAAACACCATCTCGTCCCCGTACGAATCGTAAATCCGTGCAATTGCTCCTCGGGCTTGTCAAACGCGCCAGATTCACAGCCGGACGATCCTGCCGAGTGGTAACATCGATACCTACAACTCGCTTGTCGGTAATCTTGTACGAACAGCATCGCGGTTAGGCGGAGGAACGAGGGACGCGTATCAGATAAAGGATAAGCATTTGTTTGAGTTTCTCCTTGGCCTCTTATCTGGACTAACAGGCCCAATTTATGGGTTGATCCTTGGACGAACCGCAGATAGCTAACAGATGTTGGACCATTGCTTTTCCCTCGACCCCTGCCCCCCGCGCTCGTCGTTATCGCCGAGGGAAAGGCCTGGTCTTCCGCCATGACAGTTTCCGCGAAAATTAAAACGACTCTGAGTTTGTTAACACATCTTGCGCGGGAAGCGAATGAAGTTTTGCACGGATTATCGCATCTTTACTTACTTTACAGACTGTTCTTTATTTCCCTCGGATCATCGGACACGAGGCATTCTTTAACCATTGATTTTAGAAAGCAGGCAACAGAACTTAGGATTTAGCTGACAATAGGCTTGCAAAAGAAAGGACCACGCCATGTGCGATGTCACGACGAATCGTAAGAAATCGGCCGCTACGCGGTGAGAGTTTAGCGGCAAAGCACCCGCGCAAAAGATGTGTTAAATTTCGAGATCGTGCTCGATACGAATACGCGAATTAACGATCGTGCAGGTAACACGGTTATTATACTAACGGTACATCGAACCGGAAGCGAGTCGGGAACGACGACGGGTCCGCGTCGCGACGTCTTCCTCTCGATCTTGCAGAGAAACGATCGACTTCCCGTTTCCTATGATCGTTAACGCGTTTCTCTCGCGACCAGTTACGCATTCCGCGATTAATAATCGCCTCTCGGCGAGGATGCAGGCGACGATAGAAAGACGTGTCAATCACCCGTGACTCTCCGTGCAAAAATGGCGGCTGACCTCGGGGACGCCGGACACCCCGTGGTGAAACTTCCTGTCGCGAGATCCGTTCTCCTCCACTCTCTCTTTCTTTCCTTGTTATTCTATTAGCGTGTCGAGATCGCCGGAATAATTTACCGCTATTCAAGCAAGAACACGGGGGTCACGCGGGGACAATGTAGCCATGCGAATAGGTCGCAGGGTACACGCTGAACATCCGTCGCCTTTCGAACATTAATAATCGTCCGCGATCCTCCTTCTGCCGTGTACTCCTAACGCATTGTTAACGACGGCAGCTCCCTTTGTGGTCGTAGCCTCGCGAGATCTCCGCGGGGTTATTGCGACCGCGTCCTTAACAGCTGGCTGTACTAATGGTCGCGGCGAACGTGTAATTCGCCCGATAACAAATTATCAGGAAATTCTGCAGGATGTCCCCGGAGAT